ACCAATAAAGCATTGCTATACCAATAAAACATTGCTATATCAATAAAACATTGTATTATAATGCTATACCAATAAAATAAAACATTGCAATACCAATAAAACCAATAGTTAGAGCATGCATTTGTAACCCACGTTGTGTAACTCTTAATGTTAAATCTTTTCTTGACTCTCAAGAATAAAGTTATTACTTCCCTCTGGTTTACAACAAATGGCTGGGTGCCAGTTGTATCATGGCAGCCCTGTTATCTGACTTCAGTGATCAGTGCAATTCAAAAGCCAAGCCTAAATTACCAGTGTTTTCTCACATATTCTTTACATTTGCCTCATATTTACATCAATGATGTGTAATCTTATTTTTCTTTGAGCCACTTGGGCTCCCTAATATATACTTAAAACAAGGTGAAAATAGGCTTAATATAGTCAGACTGTATGGTTTTATTTGTTTATGCCAATTGTAACACTATATTGTTTTAGTTGTTTAATGATAAATATAGTCAGACTGTATGGTTTTATTTGTTTAATGATAATTGAAGTCAGACTCTCTATGTTTTTTAACACTAGAACATAGATGGTGCTGAGGATATGCTGAAACAGAATCTAATGAAGCTGACGGAAACTCAACGGCAATCTTACATTCTATTTGTTCTACAAAATTATTCATTGGTAATTTTAGACCTTTTTAAAAAAATGTTTAATTTGTAATTTAGTTTTTGTGTGAAATGATTGTTATTGTTTCTTATAATACCTTCATGTTGAATATAACCAAGAGTGCTAATAATTCAAATTTCCCAGGAAGAAGTAGCTTCAAAACGTGGTCTTAAAACATCAACAGTTATCTCCCATATGTGTGATGCACTAAAAGTTGGTTTAAGTGTTGATGTGAAGCGTCTTGGTGTCACACCTCAAGTGGAGAAGATAGTAACTGACACTATTTGGGCTTCACCTGTATGTGGAGGTAGGATATATATTTATTGCCAAGTGAGTTTGGGGACGGGGTAGATCACACATGATAGCGTAGATTCATCAACACAAACAACTTGACAGGATCACAGTTTCATTTCATTCTGTATTGCACATGACATCCATTAATTACCACATTGTTTGAATATTCATATTGCAATTACCTTTTTGAACTGACTTGTAACTAATTTTTTAATTAGATAGCAACTAGAGGTAAAACAACATATTATTTCTTAAATTCTGTCTGTGTTTTCCTACTAGGACAGGCCACAACATGAAATATCACTAGACAAATGACAGGCCACAACATGAAATACCACTAGACAAATGACAGTCCACAACATGAAATATCACTAGACAAATGACAGGCCACAACATGAAATACCACTAGACAAATGACAGTCCACAACATGAAATATCACTAGACAAATGACAGTCCACAACATGAAATATCACTAGACAAATGACAGGCCACAACATGAAATATCACTAGACAAATGACAGGCCACAACATGAAATATCACTAGACAAATGACAGGCCACAACATGAAATATTACTAGACAAATGACAGTCCACAACATGAAATATCACTAGACAAATGACAGGCCACAACATGAAATATCACTAGACAAATGACAGGCCACAACATGAAATATCACTAGACAAATGACAGTCCACAACATGAAATATTACTAGACAAATGACAGTCCACAACATGAAATATCACTAGACAAATGACAGGCCACAACATGAAATATCACTAGACAAATGACAGTCCACAACATGAAATATCACTAGACAAATGACAGGCCACAACATGAAATATTACTAGACAAATGACAGGCCACAACATGAAATATCACTAGACAAATGACAGTCAACAACATGAAATATCACTAGACAAATGACAGGCCACAACATGAAATATCACTAGACAAATGACAGTCCACAACATGAAATATCACTAGACAAATGACAGGCCACAACATGAAATATTACTAGACAAATGACAGTCCACAACATGAAATATCACTAGACAAATGACAGGCCACAACATGAAATATCACTAGACAAATGACAGTCCACAACATGAAATATCACTAGACAAATGACAGTCAACAACATGAAATATCACTAGACAAATGACAGGCCACAACATGAAATATCACTAGACAAATGACAGTCCACAACATGAAATATCACTAGACAAATGACAGGCCACAACATGAAATATCACTAGACAAATGACAGGCCACAACATGAAATATCACTAGACAAATGACAGGCCACAACATGAAATATCACTAGACAAATGACAGGCCACAACATGAAATATCACTAGACAAATGACAGTCAACAACATGAAATATCACTAGACAAATGACAGGCCACAACATGAAATATCACTAGACAAATGACAGTCCACAACATGAAATATCACTAGACAAATGACAGGCCACAACATGAAATATTACTAGACAAATGACAGTCCACAACATGAAATATCACTATACAAATGACAGGCCACAACATGAAATATCACTAGACAAATGACAGTCCACAACATGAAATATCACTAGACAAATGACAGGCCACAACATGAAATATCACTAGACAAATGACAGTCCACAACATGAAATATCACTAGACAAATGACAGGCCACAACATGAAATATCACTAGACAAATGACAGGCCACAACATGAAATATCACTATACAAATGACAGGCCACAACATGAAATATCACTAGACAAATGACAGTCCACAACATGAAATATCACTAGACAAATGACAGTCCACAACATGAAATATCACTATACAAATGACAGGCCACAACATGAAATATCACTAGACAAATGACAGTCCACAACATGAAATATCACTAGACAAATGACAGGCCACAACATGAAATATCACTAGACAAATGACAGGCCACAACATGAAATACCACTAGACAAATGACAGGCCACAACATGAAATATCACTAGACAAATGACAGGCCACAACATGAAATATCACTAGACAAATGACAGTCTAAGAGAATAAATTGATTGTGTAAAATAGTGACATACTATGAAAAATGTAAGCATTTAATTACAAAAAATTCTAACTCCAAGTAAAGAATTTTGTCTTCTTTTGATCAGACCATCACTATTATCTCTTGTGTCATGTTGATTCTTCACTGACTGGTGAATTCACATTACACATTATGGTCTGGCTTATTGAGCCAAGTTTTAGGTTAAACATATTGGTGGCTTCCCAAGCTTTGTACAAGACAGTTATTGACAACACCATTAAGATTAAGTAGAAGTAGGCAGTCTGTAGTACACTGTTCTTGTTATTAAAATGAAGCCAATGTTTTCTCCTAAATTCCAACAACTGACTTTTTGCTGACCCAATGGAAAAATGATTCTTTGCTGACAACAAAAACACCTTCTTATAACCATAAAAACATTGAGGTTTTTGCTGTCCATTATAAAAACTGACAATTCTTGTGTCCCACAATTTATATCTGTTAAAATGTGACTTGTACATTGTTAGCCATTAAATGCAGTAACTTGTTGCTGCAGGAATTTCAAGTCTTACAAAGATCAAGGACCAGTTACCCCCATATGTTGAGTACAACCAAATCAAAGTAGTCATCTCCCAGTTAGTAGTCAGGCATGGTCAAGAAATCAACACCAATGGAGAGTTAGTGTTGTGTGGCTCTAACAAACCCAGCACTGGTCAGATGCTTTTCTCCAGCTCCTCCACTGCTGTTGAAGATGTAAGCTCAGCATTCACTTTCCACAGACTTCACATCTTTACTATCCATCACTTTCCAGACTTCACATCTTTACTATCCATCACTTTCCAGACTTCACATCTTTACTATCCATCACTTTCCACATACTTCACATCTTTACTATCCATCACTTTCCACAGACTTCACATCTTTACTATCCATCACTTTCCACAGACTTCACATCTTTACTATCCATCACTTTCCACAGACTTCACATCTTTACTATCCATCACTTTCCAGACTTCACATCTTTACTATCCATCACTTTCCACAGACTTCACATCTTTACTATCCATCACTTTCCACAGACTTCACATCTTTACTATCCATCACTTTCCATACTTCACATCTTTACTAACCATCACTTTCCACATACTTCACATCTTTACTATCCATCACTTTCCACAGACTTCACATCTTTACTATCCATCACCTTCCACAGACTTCACATCTTTACTATCCATCACTTTCCACAGACTCCACATCTGTACTATCCATCACTTTCCACAGACTTCACATCTTTACTATCCATCACTTTCCACAGACTTCACATCTTTACTATCCATCACTTTCCACAGACTTCACATCTTTACTATCCATCACTTTCCACAGACTTCACATCTTTACTATCCATCACTTTCCACAGACTTCACATCTTTACTATCCATCACTTTCCACAGACTTCATATCTTTACTATCCATCACTTTCCACAGACTCCACATCTGTACTATCCATCACTTTCCAGACTTCACATCTTTACTATCCATCACTTTCCAGACTTCACATCTTTACTATCCATCACTTTCCACAGACTTAACATCTTTACTATCCATCACTTTCCAGACTTCACATCTTTACTATCCATCACTTTCCAGACTTCACATCTTTACTAACCATCACTTTCCAGACTTCACATCTTTACTATCCATCACTTTCCACAGACTTCACATCAGTACCATCAGTCATGGACCAAAGCATAATCATGGTATTTAAAAATGCAAATCTCTACTTCTTGTCCCACTTAATATGCTTGAGATATGAGAAAATGTTACCAGCTGATATAAACTGGATAGTGATTAGATGACATAATGAAAGTCACATCACAAGTTATATTTTTTCCAGAGTGACTCCCCATTGCCTCCAACACCAGCAAAAAGACAGAAAGTTCAAAGTTCATCCACTTCTCTTAGCCAGGACCAGTCACAAATGATGTCAGAAAGCCAATCAGCACAGACCAAACTTCCAGCCTGGATGGGCTCAGCTACAAGTAAAGCAGTGTTTACCAAAAAAATCAAGTCCAACAGCCTTTTCAAGTAGAATTTTTTATGCTAGCATTTTGGTTTGTTTCCTTGTCAATCAAAACTCTTGTTACTGTTGATGTAAGTAAATATATCCAATTAAAACATATTTGATTCACGGAGTGTTCGTGCTTCCTAATTGTACTGCAACTCAAACTAAGCTATTTCAATTTCTCTATGGATAGACTTGTATGTGGGCTAGATGTGTATCTAGGCCAGAGGTCGGCAACGTGCAGCTCGCAAGCCGCATGCGGCTCTTGTGATGTCAAGATGCGGCTCTTCAGCTCCATGCACAAATATCAATAATTATTTTATTTTCAAAACTCAAAAAAATATTGTTATGCAACACACGATAATGAACGATACAATAATAAATATAAATAATAAACTATTTTATTAGAATATTTAGTTGCTCCCTATTTCAATGTACTTCCTTGTTTTCTAAAACAGAGTTTTATGAATGACTTGAGTGAAAGTTATTCACTCACCGTAATACCAACGTTAATCAATCACCGCCTAAGTCTCAGGGACGGAAAGTGGCGCTCTTGTGAATCCCATTACACTATCCCAGGGGCGCCGCATACGGCTCCTAGCTCGGTTTAATTATCGAATGTCGTGTGCCGCATTATCAATATGAAGGGTGCTCCTTAAAACTAACATAGGAGCGTAGAGCTCGGGGGATCTCCATAGGTGCCAAATCGCACCCTGCAGAGACTATGGAGGACGCACCTAATTCAATTTAGTGAGCGACTTTAGCAACCCATTTTATCCATAGTCTATCCTGCTGTTTAAAATGAACATAGGTGCCATGGTGCTCACGGGTCAGCCCTGGGCGCCAAATCACCCCCTCCCGGCGCGCTGGAGGGCGCGCCTGATTCGATTAATTCAACGATTATTGTTTTCCATTGTGTCTCACTGTATAGCCTTTTTTTAAACGAACGTAGGCGTAATAGTGCTCGCATGCGAGCCCGGGGCGCTTCGGGTCGAGCAATCTACGAGACGCCGGCGGTTGCGCATGTTGCAGTTTTACCGCCGAATATAGCAGTACCCCTTACCCCAGGGGTTCCCAACCCCGTGCCCGCGGGCGCCATGGCGCCCGCCGAACGATTCGTATGTGCCCGCCTCTCACTATTCGACAGAGACAGAATTTTGTTCATAAACATTATTGAAAGGTTGAAGGGGGTGCAAATCGAAAGTTTTGTCCCCGGGTGACGGGAAGGGTCGCTACGCCTCTGGAAGGAGTTTGTTGATTTAAAATAGGTGGTGCCTGCCACCCTACCGATATTTTAGAATGTGCTCTAGAGTAAAAAAAGATTGGGAACCCCTGCCTTACCCGCTATGCAGGACACCCGTTAAGGATGCTAAGTGCTAGCATAGCCGCTCTGGAACTCTTGGCGCAAAACCGTGCATTGATGAAAATTACACCCTCCAGGGCGCCGCCCATAAGAAATAATTTTTTTTCGCAGAAATCTTCTCGGGATTATTCTCATCTTCTCTCCAGAGTTCCATGGCAAACCGCACCCGACTTTTATTTTTTTATACCGTATATGGAGAAAAATCGCACCAACCCGGGGCGCCGCCCTTACAAAATTAAAAAAATATTTTTTTTTACAGAATCTTTCACTGGAATGTTCTAATCAACTCCCCAAATTTTGATGGCTATCGGATGAACGGTGTCATTCCGCAATCGACTTTTATTTTTCTCCATATATAGAGAACAATAGAATCGCGTCATACCGGATCGCCACCCCTGGGAATTTGACTCCCCAGGATTATTCTCAACAACTTCCTAAGGTTTCATGGCGATCGGATGAAAGGTGTAGTCATGAAAAAAAGGCTAACAGACACACACACACACACACATATATATATATATATATATATATATATATATATATATATATATATATATATATATATATATATATATATATATTAGTGGCGCTTTAAAAACTGGAAATTTTGTAAATAGTAACTTTTGGCTCTTCCGACTCAAAAGGTTGCCGACCCCTGATCTAGGCTATAATTATGTTTCTCCACATTTTCTGGTTCCCTTTATGTTTTAACCCCTGAGTTACTCTGTCAGTTTTAGCTTCTTTAAACTCATATCAATTGCTGTGTGTTGTAAGTTAATTAAAAACGAATTTATTAACTACAAACTCCTGCCATGATTTTCACCTTAACAGTGTATTCACATTTTTCCAGAGAAAATAACTTTTAAAAAAATTACATGGCGGATCTAGTTCTCCCATAAGATTTAGTGCTAGTCCATGGGAAAGGTCTGGGCATAAAAAAGTGTGAGTGAGCTCATACTTTTAAAAATATTTTCTTTCTAATTGTTTTAACAATTGATCAACGTGCACAACTGCTTCATACAAAATAATGTCTATGTTGGGGCCTGGGGGAATTACATTAATGGGGAGTAAAAATGAAATTGAAATAAGATATCTTTTACTTCTATTAGGAACTACTTTTTCGTGTACTAGAAATTAATTAGAAAGAAGATCTACTTTTGCTAGTTCTATTTCTGGTCTTGTCTGTAAGTAAGTCCTGCCAACAGTTACTGTTATTAATTGTTCCTCGTCCATGCGAACATGACCCTTGACCACTGGCTTGATGAAAGTCACGTAGACAACACACCCCCCTCCCACACACACACTAATCACGCCCCTTGAGCCATCAGAGGCGTTGCCTGTTTAGATGTTCCCATCACGGCAACTTACTTTCGCCTACACGTTCATATTATTTTACATAGACCGCTGCTTATTCTATCTAAACACGGAAGGAAATTTTAGTAGGCTTACTGTTAGGGCCAAGAAGTAGGATTTTATATTTTATGTAATATATTTTTGGCGGTAATAAATTCTGAAAGACTTGGGCTGTATTCAAGATAGGCCTAGGAATGTGTTATGTCTAAAAAAAAATGTAACAAAGCAAGAAGGGTTTCCTTTATATCCGGTATTCTCGCCTTTTTTCAGAGTGTGTCCGTAAGTGACGTCACACTATTGGAGTAGGGGGGTGTCTTTTAATGCTTTATAAATTTATCAAATTTCACCTATGACCTATAGGCCTACCCCGAGAAATTAAAAAAATTAATTTTCATTTGATTTTAGGGAGGGGATCTGGTGTGACAATGGTAGGGAGGGTAAAAATCGTTTTGAAAGTGTGATGTTAGCCTAAAGGACCACCTCAAAAGTATGCAGAGCGCTAATAAATAGACCAGTGGAGTAGGAAGATTGTGTTACGGAGGTTCGGTTTCCCCCCATAGATAAAAAATGTGTGTCTCGATTTCGGATCTTGGGCTCGAGTAACTAGTACAGATGTGTACCTGACTCGAGGAATCAAAGGCGGATGTACACAGTGCTGACCACACCTTCCCTCGAGTAACTAGGACAGATGTGTACCTGACTCGAGGAATCAAAGGCGGATGTACACAGTGCTGACCACACCTTCCCTCGAGTAACTAGGACAGATGTGTACCTGACTCGAGGAATCAAAGGCGGATGTACACAGTGCTGACCACACCTTCCCTTAAGACTTTAAGAGGATAACATTGCGAGACTACGTTTGACTGAGGGGAGGGGGGGGGGGGAGAAAGGCGGATGTACACAGTGCTGACCACACCTTCCCTTAAGAGGATAACATCGCGAGACTGCGTTTGACTGGGGGGGGGGGAAGTAGGCCGACCAAGGCAGTCCTGGAGTTGGACAGTGGGCGGAGAAGAGAGAGAGAGAGACCTGTCCATTTGATTTACGGTGCAGCCCTTTGCTCTTCGGCCTGTTCAAAGGAATTTCAAGTCTCACTATCCCTTTGTATGTCAATATAATTAAAACAGATAAACTTTAATCATTTGTCCCGTGTGTCTTGTGCAAAATTGAAAAAGATGACATATAATTAGATAGACAGATTCCACAACTTAGCGCACGATTTTATGACTTTCAATTTTTTTTAAACTGATTGAATAATCTTAAAGGTATATCGAACGCACTTTCGCCAATATAGATCTAGATCTAGCTTTACTTTAAAAACTTGAGGCAACTGTTTTTTTTTAATAATTCATTGACCCCACCCCCTTTAGGGGTCATCCATAAATGACGTCACACTCGTAGGGGGGAGGGGGTCCGTAATTTTGTGACGATGTGTGATGAGGGGTAGGGGGGGGGGTTCAGATGTTGCGACGTCACATTTTTGCCTTATAAAAAAGCAATGTTAGAAAACGAATTTTAGACGTTATTTCGCATTTTAGATAACTGTTTTAATAAATTGTAATAGTTTAGACAAGATTTTAGAAAAATATCGATGTTTTAAAAAAATTCAACTGCAATTTTGAGGGGGGTTGTAAGTTGAGGTGTGACGTCATTTTAGGGGGGATCTGGCTTTTTGTGACGACGTGTGACGGAGGGGAGGGGGGGGGGGGGGAAGGTAAAAATCGTCAAAAAAAGCGTGACGTCATTTATGGATGACCCCTTAGCATAACACACACCCCTCCCGTATACGCCACTGGTCGTTTACTGTACCCAGACCATATTCATGCGCAAAATACCTTAAGTGATAGAATATTTTAAAATTCATTCAACACTCCTCTCTGAAAACTACCCTTTGCTCAAATTCGATGTGACGCTCCTGTAAAACATTTTGTGCCTACTAGATCTATTTACTATAAAAAAAAACTAGATCTCTAATAATCTCTAGATCTATATTAAAAAATTGTCAAAAGTGTGTGTGCGTATTAATACAGCACTGTATATTAAAGACGGGCACAAAACGGGTTAGCTCAGGTCACCACAGGGGTCAATAAAGGTCATGGCCATAGGCTTTGGTTGCTGACCTCGTCGAGAGTAGAGCTAAAAGTTAAGATAGCGTCCTATGTACTTGTTCAGTCTTGTAGCTAGCAGGCCGTTCAGTCACATGTGACCAGCGAGAATAAAACGCGGCAGATGTTTTCGTTAAATAAAACAAAAAACCTTAATCAATTTATCTGCATCAGTAATCTATGTTGTGACTTATAATTCGAATATTGATAAACATGACAATATATGTAAATCACATTAATGAGATCTCCTGCCCAATTAGTATAACCC